AGTAAAGATGCACTAAAGCATGTCTTGAGCCTTAATATCCAGCCTCTTGAGACGATCGAGCAAAATGTAAGGCGCAAATGGGAGTTTAATGAGATGGTGACCGTGATTGAGTGTGGGCTGCTACATATTAATGGGGAATTAGTGTCATGGAGGAAAGACCCAGTGAAACACCCAACACCGAGGATAGGAGATGTTGCGAAGCATGCCGTGGTGAGTATTGTGGCTCCCTTGAGGCCACCTCGGAAGCCACCGGGGATCTTTTGATGAAAAGAAGCAATAAATCGGGCCAACGACAATAAAAAGAGGCGTTTGTTGGGAGGCAACCCAATGGTGTGCGTGTTTCGATCGACCTTCTTCGCATTGACTAAGGTGAACTCGTTTCTTTTACCTCCATTTTTGTTCTTTTATGTTTATTGGAGTGTCAATGATATATGCAAACTCTAAGTTTGGGGAGATGGTTTCTTGGTGAGCATTCATGATTTATTATATCATTATATTTTCCCTCCTTAGAGTTTGAGTTCTTAGTTTGAGTTGCATATGTTTGTCTTGTATGAGCATGGGATTGCATGTAAGTGGAATTTTGCGATGATGACATGAGAGTCGATTTGGATTTATTGTGCTAGCTTAAATGGCTTGAGTTAATTTTATTTGGTTAAATTCTTGAGGTGTTTTATTTTGGAGACAAATGCATGATGGTTGATATTTTTGTGACTTATTTGTGGTGAGTTGGTTTTGAGGCGATTTGTATTGTTGAGATATGCTTGTGATTGCTTTAATTAATATTGATTAAGTTCGGGGAATTGAAGTTGAAAGTTTGGGTTTCTATGTCTCATAGTCGAAGAAAAATAATAATGAGGAAGGACGAATAATTGGTGGAGTCGAAAAGCCGTTTCGCACAAAAAAAAAAGAGTTATATGGGCTGCAATAGCTGCCAATCCATGGGGATCTAGTGTATAAATCCAATAATTCTTGTATCAAGACAATCACGAAAGGCTAAAACTCGCGGGTTGTGACGGAGCTCCCGTTCCCTACCTCGAAAAAAAAAGAGAATAAAAAAAAAGAAAAAAAAAGAGTTGGAGAATGAGACATTTAGACTTCGGCAAGAAACGAAAAGAAACTAGACTTGTTAGCAAAGAGAGGGGTGTCATTAGTTGCATTGATCGGTGCATTCGTTATAGAGATTGACAAACTATGGTGGTCACTTGGATTGATACTTGTTATGTTTGCATTCCTAGAATAAATTCGTCTTGAGTCCGTATAAATTGATTTGAGTTGTTTGAACTATGCACTTATGTGAGAATTGTGAGGCCCTGAGTAAATTTCCACATACTTGTTTTCTTGTCCATCTATGTGCTTATAGTTATAAGTTGTTTGGGGACAAACAACGGTTTAAGTTTGGGGAGATTTGATAGGTCAAAAATTATGCGCGTTTTATATATTTAATAATGTATTTTTATACACTCAATTTATTCGCACGTTTCTATTTTTTGACTTATTTATTTATTTGGATGGATTAATATACATCGATATTTTTATTTTATTTTCAGAATATTAGAGTATTTTCATGGACGACGCAATACTGGACAGAAGTTTAC